AAAAAAAAAAAAAAAAAAAAAAATTGGGAGATTTCAGCCAGGCCTGGTGGTTCATGCCTGTAATCCCAGCACTTGAACACACCTGGTGAGTGTCCCCGTCTCGCCTCTCTGGGAGACACAGACCACCTCTATGGTCTTCCTTTGCTGGGTTCTTTCTAGGTGACATGACCCCGAAGCAGTCCAAAGTGGCGAAGGCCATCCTGTGGCTCTGCGGAATACAGGACAAGGGCAAGGAAGAGCTCCCGGCCAGAGCAGAACCCGTCATAGTTTCCCTGGAAGAAAACCCCTTGGTGAAGACCCTCCTGGACGTCAACCTTATTTTCTGCGTGACCTGCGCCATCTTTATCTGGGGCTACTTTGCTTAGTGTGGGGTGAACCCGGGGGTTCAAAGGCCGTTTCTCTTCAATGCTCCATTTTTTTTAATGAAAGAAAAAAGAATAAAGCTTTTGTTTGTTTACCACAAGGCTTCCAACTGTTTATAGATCATTTTCAACATGACACTTAGTTCTTTTCTTTTTTCTTTTCTTTTTTTTTTTGAGACAGTGTCTCGCTCTGTCACCCAGGCTGGAGTGCAGTGGCATGGTCATAGTTCACTGCAACCTCAAACTCCTGGGCTCAAGTGATCCTCCCTCCTCAGCCTCCCAAGTTTCTAGGACTACAGGTACACACCACCATGCCTACCTAATTTTTTCTTTTTTTAAAGAGATGTGGTCTATGTTGCCCAGGCTGGTCCTGAACTCCTGGCCTCAAGTGATCCCCCCACCTCAGCCTCCCAAAGTACTAGGATTATTGGCATGAGCCACTACGCCCAGCCTCTTTTCTTCTTGAAAATAATGAAGGTTAGAAGATGGAAAGAGGAGAGACATGTAAAAGCTTCCTTTCGCAAAAGACAGTTATTCATTCTTCTTATCCATTGTGTAACATCAATACCCAAATTCAAAGGGATAAAGAAGCAAAGGGACTCACAGGACCTTTTGGCATTCGAACTTGCCCAGCTCATCTTCACAGTGCGAAGAATGGGACCTGCATTCTATCTCTTGCCTTCCACTATGGCTGGCTTTGGGTGAAGGTCCCCAAGAGTTTTCTCACTGTGATACTTCCTCCTAGATATTTCTTGGAAATAGATCCGAGTTGGTACTCTGAAATCTTGTGCTATAAGAAAATCAGGGAATTGTGTGCACTTCGCAAGTTCTGGCTTAGACTGCTTTGTTTCTGAGACAGGGTCTCACTCTGTCACCCAGGCTGGACTGTAGTGGCGCCCTGACGGCTCACTGCAGTCTTGACTTCCTGGGCTCATATGATCCTCCTATCTCAGCCTCCTGAGTAGTTGGGACTATAGCCATGCACCACCATGTCTGGCTAATTTTAAAAATTTATTTGCAGAGACATAGGGGGCTGCTCTCTCCTATGTTGCCTGAGCTGGTCTCAAAACTCCTGGGCTCAAGCAATCCTCTTGCCTTGGCCTCCCAAAGTGCTGGGATTACAGGCATGAGCCACGCACCCAGCCTTAGACTGTTTCTTTGCTTACTTCCCCAGGATGATGCTTCCCTAAAAAGCAGCAGCCAGGTGGTGGATGGGCATCTCAATGAACTTCCCCACCAAAGGCCAGTAAGGCTTTCACCTGCAGGGCAGTGGCCTCCTGTTCTGGGTGGAGCCAGCCTCCTCAGCTTTCCCGCTTTGGGCCCGATGGAGTCTGATGGAATGACCCATTAGGGCTGCGTTTGCCACATGCAGAGCTAAGAGCAGGCAGGGCCAACCCAGTGAGCCCTGAGACCATCTCTGGAGTAGCCCAGGGCCATGAACCATCCAGGCCTGGGATAAGGTCGGGTGGTGGGATGGACTAGAGCCTCTTCCTGGCCTGACAGAGCTGGAAAGCAGAGGAGTCTCTCGGGGCACCCCAATTTCCAGGCCAGAGGCCAGAGGAAAATAAACAGGACCCCCCAGGGCTGAGGGGCTGCTTACCCACTTAATCCTCCAGTGATGTCTTTCCGGTTCCTACTTGATGCCAACAGCTGGGACTGGCCTGGTGCACAGGCAAATGTATTGGCCGAGTCCCCACTCTGCTCAGAAGGCCCAGCTCTCTACACGAATCCAAGCAGCAGCGGTGGGCTGGACAAAGGGCACCCCCAGCCGTCCTGGGAAAGGGTATGGGTGGGGAACTGGCTGTTAACATGGCTCTAGGCAGGAGCTTGGGATGGTTCTGGAGCAAGTGGGCTCAAGGAGCAGTCTTCACCGAGGAGGCTGAGCTTCTGCCTCCAAGGCCCAAAGGAGGGGAGTGGGCGGCATGGGGGGCTTCCACTACAGTCCTGAGCTCCCCGTCCAAGCCTGCCCCTCACACCGAGACCTCTGTTGCCTCTGGCTGGGGTCAACAGTATGTTTCAGCAGGAACACATTGAGCTGTCACTATGATCGCTCAGGCCACCCCCATCTCTGCCTGGCCTCCTGACTGGCCTTCGCACATCCAGTCTTCCCCATTCTCCAGCCACTGGCAGGGTAGGCAACTCGGATCAAGCCAATCCTCTGCTTGGACTCCTTCAGTGACCTTCCCACACTCAGGATGAAGTCTGCAATCCTTTGCATTCCTTTTTTGTTTGTTTGTTTTTGTTTTTGGAAAGGGTCTCTCTCTGTTGCCCAGGCTGGAATGCAGGGTGCGACCATGGCTCAACGCAGCCTCGAACTCCTAGGCTCAGGGGATCCTCCCATCTCAGTCTCCTGGGTAGCTGGGACTACAGGTACACACCACCATGCCTGGCAATTTTGTTGTTGTTGTACTTTGTGGAGAGGGCATTTTGCCATATTGCCCAGGCTGGTCTCCAACTCCTGGGCTAATGTGATCCACCTACCTTGGCCTCCCAAAGTGCTGGGATTATAGGTGTGAGCCCCCAAATAGGGCCTTTTTTTTCTTTTTTCTGTTTACAGACAGGGTCTTGCACTTTGTCACCCAGGCTGGAGTGCATTGGTATGATCCTGGCTCACTGGAGCTTTCAACTCCTGCCTCAGCCTCTTGAGTAGCTGGAACTACAGGCATTTGACCACCATACCCGGCTAATTTTAATTTTTTTTTTTTGTAGATGGGGGTCTTACTATGTTGCCCTGGCTGGTCTCAAACTCCTGGCTTCAAGCAATCTGCCCACCTCAATGTCTCAAAGTGCTGGGATTAAGGCGTGAGCCACTGTGCCCAGCCAGCTGAGAGATTTTAAACTTTCTCACCACAAAAAATAAATAATGGAGGTGATGGATATGTTAATTAGCTTGATTTAACCATTCCGCAATGTATACATATACAAAAACATGTCGTACACCATAACTTTTATCAATTTAAAAAACCAGTGCAGTGCAAATACAATTTACAGACGTGCACAGAAACTGAATTCAGGCCAGGTGCAGTGGCTCATGTCTGTAATCCCAGCACTTCAGGAGGCCAAGGTGAGTGGATCACCTGAGGTCAGGAGTTCAAGACCAGCCTGGCCAACATATCAAAACCTCATCTCCACTAAAAATACAAAACTTAGCCAGGCATGGTGGTGGGTGCCTGTAGTCCCAGCTACTTGGGAGGCTGAGGCAGGAGAATGGCTTGAACCTGGGAGGCGGGGGTAGCAGTGAGCCGTGATCATGCCACTGCACTCCATCCTGGGCAACAGATCAAGATTCCATCTTAAACAAATAGAATAACAATTAAAAACCCCAAATTTAAATACAAGTAGAAAGAGTGAAAATAGAACCTTGATGTTTTTTGTTAGGTTGGGGGAGGTTTGTCCTTGTATCAAATATCCCCCTCCCCACATGTCATTTGTGATGATGTTTCATGTGTGAAGCACAGACCCTAAGGTGACCCTCAATAATCCCTACTTCCTGGGAAGTGGATCCTTCCCCAGTCCAGCCTCAAGATAAGACCCCAGCCCTGGCTGCTGCCTTGACCGCAGCGGATGAAAACCCTGGACAGAGGACCCAGAGAAGCTGTGCCTGGAGTCCTGACCCACAGGGACTATGAGAAAATGAACGTGTTGTTGTAAGCTGCTAAGTATGTGGCCATCTGTCATGCTGCACTGGATAACTGACACGAGGGGCACGGTGTGTGAACGCATGTGTGGATGTAAAGGAGGGGTTGGCTGGAGAGGGTGTGGGAGGAAGACAGTTGCCTGCACAGCTGTGTGGGGTCTACACAGCCATGTACCTCCTCTGGAGGGAATCAGGTAGAAGTCATTTGGTTGCCAGTAAGAGAAACAAACCCAAAGAGGAACGCTTGTGCCAAAAACAATCAAGCACTTTATCGTGCGCATTCAAAGGCAAGAAATGCAGAATGGCTTCAGGGACACGAACCGGGAGCTGGGAGGGTTTTAAACACCAAGCCCTGCACTCTTTCCCTCTAATCTTTTGTCTCTGCCTCTCCGTGTATCTGCTGACTTCTCCCTCTGCAGGCACGTTTTCTCTGCTACACAGAATCCACGGTGGTGGCAGGAGGGCACCCACAGCTCCGTGCCGGGAGACAGGGGTCCTGCCTGCTGGGGAAGAGACTCAGGGCCCATACCTGTGCGAACCCATGTGGGACAGGGTGGGGATGGCCACGTGTGCAGCCTGCTGTGGGCAGTGGGGAAACTAAAGGAGTCCTTGACTTGCTCCCCCACTCCCTTAGCTGGCAGCTCAAGTGGTCTTGGTCACTTCTTGCCTTTGGCAGCACCAGACACTGTGGCTTCGCCACACCAGCACATCTCCTCCTCTCCAGCTCCACCGATGAGATACGAGAGAAGTGCAAGCCCTCGGCTGAGAAGCATCCCTGAGTGAGGTGCTTGCTGCCCAGTCTGATGCAAAACCCTGAGACTGTGGGTCCCAGAGGCCAGAGGCGCCAGAATATGGTGGGGAAATGGTGGGACGAGACCTCAGGGAGAAACCAGGAGAGTTTGTCTTAAGACCTTCAAATAGGAGCACTTGCGGGACTCACTGGGCTTGGGAGAGCACTGAGAACTGCAGCCCCAACAGAGGAACAGGAGTCGGTCCACGGAGCTCCCAGAGAACCAGGGCCATCACAACGGTCCAGGATGGGGTCACTCCTACGGCATCTGAATTTTTTTTTAGAAGAGATGGTGCAGCTGGGGGAGCAGGGACAGGAAGTCTGAGCGCAAGGGCCTCTTCCTATAAGAAACTACTGGGTAGAGAAGGGAAGGAAACAATCTGAAGGGCAGATGGCCAGCGCCCTTCTGGACGGCCAGAAATGGCCACTATGGGTTCCGATTCTCTACCTCTCTGACGGTGGGCAGGCTGGAAACAGGGCTGCCAACGCAGCACAATGCCCCCAGCAGAAGGAATCCCAGGTCACAGGAATGGCAAAGAAAGAGGATCCAGGTGCCTCTCGTGGCCCTGCCGGTGGGATGCTGAGCCATGTACCTCACACTACATAGTTCTGTTTGGTCCTTTTTTTTTTT